CTCTTCCGAAGGCAGGTCCGAAATCCTACTTCTCCTGAAGACGTTAGAGATGTGGGTGGGCCTTGATTGGCATCACTCCTCCTGGAACATTCCAGGATACAAACAGCGCTCATCACTCACTGGTGTTTGCTCCACCAAAGACCCAACAGCTCTTTTCACACACTTAGCTCCTAATAAACACTTTAAGTGTTAGCAATCGGAAAATCCTCAGTCACGAGTCTCCTGCTCGTGGGGTGAACCTGTTTCAATGACCCATCTCCTTGTCCCACGTGTGAGCCTTTTACCGAACACCCCATCCCTGTGTGTACAGTAGGGCCCCGACCGTACCTCCTACGAGCTTCTGCCCGCGTGGGTTCAGGTAAAGAGACTCAGAAGTGGGTTGGTTTGCTGCTGACACTGGGCTTTGCCCTTGTGCCACTACCTGGAGGGGCAGGAGCGTCCATGTGGCTTATTAAGCCTTGGCAGGGACATCCTTCAGCTTTGGTTTGTTTCGTATCGCAGACTCTCTCTCTGCGTCTCCTGCACTCATTTAGTTCTGCATCCGAACTGAGTTACAACTCCGACACTAATTAACAGCCACCCCAGAGATACCGATAACATTCACGTCCTGCGTTTTGAGCTCAGATCAAAATACGGGGCAAAAGCCACGAGTAGACGTGTGCTTCTGAGCGTCTTCAGGAGGGACTTGCCCTTCTTCCTGGCATTAAACTTTTCTCCGTTCTTGCTTTTGTCTGTCTGGACGGTCCGGTCATGAACAGTTCAGCTCACGGTGGCCTCTGTTTTCTCTCTCTTTTTTTTCTTTCTCATGTGAAAAGAAATTGCTTGGAAACTCCCTGCTGAAACTGGAAGGCGATGACCGGCTCGACATGAACTGCACGCTGCCTTTCAGCGACCAGGTGACCATGTTTTTGGGGGCACCATCGGCTGTGTCGGGGCTGGTTATGGGGACGTGATCCACCTCACACTCTGCCTGGGGACTTGCACCCCGGCAGGTGGTGCTGGTGGGCACCGAGGAAGGGCTGTACGCGCTGAATGTCTTGAAGAACTCCCTCACCCACGTCCCAGGGATCGGAGCGGTCTTCCAGATTTACATCATCAAGGACCTGGAGAAGCTCCTCATGATTGCAGGTGGGAGGCCAAGGACACGGCGTTTTTCCTTCACTTGTAAGGGAGATGATTCGCCATATGCTTGTCAAACGCAGAGACAGGCCCTCCTGGGGGCAGGCTGGAGCGGAAGTGGCTCTTCCCCCTGCGTCCTGTAGGTGCCCGCGCCCCCCAGCGCTCTGCTCGCACGCAGCCCCTCTCTGAGCGCCTGCCCGCCCTGCTGCCCGCCTCCCATTTCTCCCTGCTCTCACACACCCTTCATCTGCGTGCACGACTCATTAGCAGTTTGCCACATTTCCCCCACCCTTCTCTCTCTCTCTCTCTCTCTCTCTCTTTCTCTCTCTCTCTCTCTCTCTCACACACTCTCTCTCTCTCTCTCTCTCACGCACACACTCTCTCTCTCCTCTCTCTCTCACTTATTTTGAACCACTTGAGAGTCAGTGGCAGCTGTGACTGGATCCTTCAGCCAGTCACCTAAGAACAAGGGGCATTCTCTCACATACCCATGGCAGGAAGGTTCTTTTTCCCTCTCTTTATCGGTGGTACTATATATATGTGTGTGGGGTGTGTGTGTGTGTGTGTATTTTTTTTTTTTTTAAATGGGAAAACAATAATGCATTTGCTCCATGTTCAAAACATCCACAGTCAGGTTTCATTCAGGCCTGGCCGGCTGGATCCAGGGGCCAGATCCTGAGGTACTATGGTCAGGAACTGGCTTTCTTTGGTCTCTCAGCTCTTTTCCGCTGCTGGCTTGTTTTGTTGGTTTCTTTTTTTTTTTCTTTTTGCGGCATGTGGGCCTCTCACTGTTGTGGCCTCTCCCGTTGCGGAGCACAGGCTCCGGACGCGCAGGCTCAGCGGCCATGGCTCGCGGGCCCAGCCGCTCCGCGGCATGTGGGATC